AATTCTGAGACATTATTGGTTTTACTCAGCACTTTGAGAACTAGGGGAATCTGTATTGGGATTTTTGACGAGGTTAAGATGACTGGCAGAGGCATGTGGCTTCGGGTTAACCTTTAATGAGATACTGACAGACCATTTGGTCTGTGGGATTAATGATGTAACCATGCAAAAGCACCTATTGGCTTTATCACTTGAAAATGCAGCAAGTGGAGCATATGAGTTACAGGGTATTCCCAGTGGAAACGGACAACCTCGCCAGTCCAATTGAGCTTGGGGAATACCACTTGAGTGAAGACAATTGCACAGCCTCACTCAGGCCATTCATGAACCGAGGGACCCTATGTCAGCCGACAGCAAAACCCCAAAACAAAGCCAAGTCTCAGCTATACAGTTAAAATTTTCTTCAGGATCCGGGCTGACAAGCCATTGTAAATATTGGTGGCTTGCAGACTTGAGACAGCAAAAACTAGAACTAAATTGAATAACAGATCTCATAGGCCAGTATCCACATGACTGCACACACTGGAAAGTTCACCTACATCTAGTTTGGAACAGTTAATTGCTAAGCAGCATCCTAATCAGAACCAATCAAAATAAATGCCTGGTTAAATGGTCATCGTTTCTAATGGCAGTCGATACAGGTCTACAGGTGTAGAACCAGTCTATGAAAAAATTCACTCTGGACTCCAAATCTTAAGTTTGTGTAAGACCTCAGCTAGACTGAGGACCTATATAGCTATATCAGGGACCCTTTACAGATTAAGGGTACAACTTCAGTTCTGGCCTCTTATGAGAAGCAGCTGGTTCAATTACCATTGATTGTTATAAAAGGCTCAGGCCCAAGGTTGATGGGGCAAAATTGGATGAGAAAGTTTCATCTAGATTGGCTCAACATTTTTCCACTTGAAAATGGATGGGTGCCTGAGTGAAATCCTAACTAAATACTCGGATGTTTTACAGGAAAGTCTAGGGACTGTCAAAAGAGCCAAGGCCATCTTGCATGTTGACCAGGAAGCAATTCCATGACTTTGCAAGGCCCTCCCAGTGCCATTTGCCTTACGAGCAAAAGTAGAGGCAGAAATCAGGAGGCTGGAAAGCGAAGGAACCATCAAACCAGTCCAGTTTGCAGAATGGGCAGCACCAGTCATACTGATTGTGAAGCCCGATGGGTGGCTTGCCCCTGTGCAGATTATAAACAAATGGTAAACTGCTTTTCACAGCTGGATAAATACCAATTGCCTTGCATAAAGGATTTATATGCAAAGCTGGCAGGGAGGGCTCCCCTTCACTAGATAACGTGCTAACAACAGGGAAGACCAATAAGCAGCGCTTAGAGAGCTTGGACATAGTTCTTAGATATTTTTCCCAGGCGGACCTATGACTTCAAAGGGAAAAACGTGTGTTCCACGCACCCCAAGTCACCTACTTGGGCTACGGAGTTGACAAGACCAGGTTATACCATTAGAAGATAAATTGAGGGTGATCAAAGGTGCCCTGGCTCCTACGTCTGTACCAGAGCTTAGGTTTATCCTTGGGCTGGTGAATTATTACAGAAAGTTCATGCATGACCTGGCCTCCATCCTGGTATTTTTGCATCAACTTTTAAAAACTGGTCAGCCTTGGAAATGGTTGTGTTGCCAAGCCATAGCTTTCAGGAAAGTGAAGAAACAGCTGTTATCCTCGAAGATGTTGGTACACTATAATCCCAAGGGAGATCTGGTATTGCCATGCAGTGCCTCCCCATTTGGTATTGAAGTAGTATTAGCTCATAAGTGGCCCATTGGAAAGGAACACCCTATAGCATATGCATCCAATACTTTGGCTAATGCAGAGCGTAAATAGGCCCAGATAGAGAAGGTAGGTTTGGTGGTCATATTTGGAGTCAAAGTTCCACCGATACCTTTACGAACCTAAATTTGTAATAACGGATCACAAACCTCCACTAGGTCTACTTACAAAGAGGACAAGGCAGTGCTGCCCATAGGTTCAAGCTGAATTCAGTGGTGGGCTCTAACGTTCAGCGTGTATAAGAACACCGTCCAGGAGGCCAAGTAGCAAACGTGAATGCACTGAGCTGCCTCCCGCCGGCAGATACACCAGTTCGTAATGGCTTTAAATTTTCTGGACACACTTCCAGTCATAGCTGACGATATCTGACTTTGGGCGCAGAAAGACCTGGTCCTGGCAAAACTGAAACAGCTGGTGGTGATGGGGGACACTGAAGGGCCGTCACAACCAGAACTGGAACCTTTTTGGACCCGGAGAGACCAGATTGCAGTTGAGGATGGCATGTTATTATGTGAAGCAAAAGTGATTGTCCAGAGCAAAGGTCACTGCCAGATACTGACTGAACTCCACCAGGGTTATCCAGAGGTTTCCAAAATGAAGATGTCAGCAAGAGGTTATGTCTGGTGGCCGGGACTGGATGCAGGCATAGCTGGATTGGTGGGGCAGTGCCCAGAGTGCCAACAAGGACAAAAATTACCCCCAGCAGCTTCCCCACATTCGTGGAAATGGATGGGTAGACCTTGGACTTGGTTACACGTTGACTATGCAGGCCCTTTCACAGGCTCAGTGTTCTTAGTCATTGTGGTTGCCCACTCAAAGTCATTGGACGTGAATACAGTTCATTCATCAAACACAGGGACAATGATAGAAAACACATCTTTTGCAATACACAAACCACCGAAGTTTTGGTCACAGATAAAAGGCCATTGTTTACCAGCAGGGAATGTGAGTATTAACTAAAGTTGAATAGTATTCATCATACAAGGACAGCTCCATACCTCCATCCATCACCCAATGGTCTTGCAGAAAGAGCAGTCCAAACATTGGTGGCAGGCTTAAAGAAACAGCCTACAGCTTCATTAGATACCGAACTTTCCTGGTTCTAATTTGATGATGGGACCACCCCTCATGCAACTACAGGAATAACTCCAGCAGAATTGCCAGTAGAGAGAAGACTATGCAACAGGTTAAATCCGACCTTCTCAGACTTTGAGGGGTGGGTGGGTGGGTGGGTAGGTAAAATAGCATCAGGAATACCAATGCCAGATAGAAGACTCTGCTGAGTGAGAGAGACAATTTACTTCAAGGGACGTAGTTTGGTGTAGGAACCATGGGAATGGTCTTACATGGGTAAGAGGCATGGTCGATGCAAAATCAGGTCCAGTGACATATAAAGTTCGGGGAGACGCGACTGTCCCGAACAAGCACATGCACAATGCAAAAGCTGCAAACTCACAAAATTGTGCGGGAGCAAAACGTGCCCAGCTCTTCAACTGCCTTTCTGACTGTTGTGGAACAGGTGCGTTCTCCCTCTCCATCAAGCATTGAAGATAGCTTGGATTCAGAGATGGACACAACAGATGTTTCTGCCTTGTCACCTGAATAGGAGAATTAATTTCTTCTGCGACACTCCAGGCGTAAGAGGCGAGCTACTGTGCCACACTGCCCATTTCAGAGGCACAGTTGGAGGAACCTGACCTGGTGTTAAAATACCCAAAGAGGAGCTACAAAAAAATCAAGAAATGGCCTATGTTGGAGGGGGAGGGATGTAGAGATTGTAACGAGGTCAACCAGTGGGCCCCATATGAGTTCCCTGATTGGGGCTGTTAATCTGGTCCAACCAGGGAGCCCTGGCTGACAGATACAAACAGGTGTGTCAGCGGTTCTGTTCATTCTGAGAGCTGGCTTTGAGGAGGCTAGATCAGTATCAAGGGCTCTCCACATGTAAATAAAGGGTGACTTGGTGATGGGATACTGGCTTCTATGGGGTTATTTTAGTGGGCAGCAAGGCACCTTGGCAGTGACTTGTCTGTCATTCCCAGTCCCTGTCAGGGACAATGGCACCTCCCTTACAACTAAATGGATGGTAAACTCAGTGGGAGGTCAAGTTCCCATAGTCTCCTGTCACTGAGCCAGGTGGTGGAAAGCATGCCGGGCATGAGCAATGGACTGGAGGCCCCTGTGCATATCCAGCACAGATTGCTGAATGGCCTACTGCTGCTCCTATGTCTGATTGTATTATGGTTAGCAGGGAAAGGACAGCTTGCTCATTTACTGACTCAGGAAAAGCAGCTCAGGAGCTGCAATGTTGCTTGTTTTGTGGCACAACCATGTAAAGCTGTAAATCATAAAACATCAATTGGGCTAGAGTTCAGGTACATCCAGAAGTTGGACACAATTAATCATCCTATTACAGCCCCTCAACATTCAGATCAAAACTGAAAATTCTCCTTATGTATGGTGGTATTATATCTTAATTTAAACCAATTTTGATTCGAATTATTGTATAATATTTTAGCATCCAGAAGCTTGCTTTTATATTCTTCTATAGTTTTTACAATTATTCTTTTGCCTTTTTCCTTAGTCATGTTTAAACCAGACCTGTGCTTACTATGCAAAATGAAATACTTATCAGTTGCATTAAAAGGACTGTTATAAATCTTTGAAGAGATATAAAACACAGTCTGTAATATATTGTAACCAATATGCGCCTAGTAGAATCAAATTTCTTTGCATTACTATTATTGCAGAAAGGACAGGGGTGGAGAAAGAGATTGAAGATGTAAATAATGAATTAACCTTTGTCTATACACACAGCATTTGAGATAACTAATTACCTGAGAAAACAAATCTGTACTCTTGACCTTTACTTATTGTTTCCTCTTCCTTTCTTTATTTTGGTTAAGCCTAAAAACGGGCTCTATTCCTGCTCTGTACCAGGTCGGATAATAAAATCAGAGACATTTCAACACAGAAGCTCATTTAGTTCATTGCTGAAGACTGAAAACCTGGGACAACACCTTGCCTTGCACTCAGTTACTGACAAACCTGGAGTACATTTGCAGAGTCTTCTGTTCCTAATTTCAGATATCCTGCTTTATTTCTACACATTCCCACAATAGGTCTCATAAGGCTGCAAATTCTAGAAAACTGACTAGCTTTTTGCAGCTACTGTAACACTCAGTGTCAACACATCAAACATATTGACTTACCCCTATGAAACTCCTTCAGTTGATGAATAGCATAATTTTTTTCTTCAATCAATTTTGCATTCTGTTCATAAAAAGGAAAATGAATCAAAATTACACCAAATATGATCATAAGATTTTGCTTAGACTTGCCATCATTGATTTACCACTTAGCTGTACAGGTTTTAACAGTTCTGCTTTTGCTTCTAAAACAACACAAGATAAAGTGGGGGTAGCAGCTTCTTAAACAATGCAGGACAGAGTTGGAATGGCAGCTTCACTGAAAGCAGAAGAGAGAAAACAGTCAGCACCCTTTCAAACAGGATGACAGAGCATGGGGACAGCAGATTCATAAAGAGAAGAGCAGGCTTGTGTGAAAAGGACTGTAGCAGTGGAAGGTAAAACCAGCAGCAAAGAGTCCCTTCAACGTGTTTCTAAACTGTCAGAGCTGAAATGAGATGTCACAGGAAAACAGGTAGGTGACTAGTGGGGTTTTTCGTCAGTGTCACTTTTGAGTTCCCAAGTGGTTTAAACCAGAAGATGCACTGGGGCTCGAGAGCACAGATAAGAAGTTCACGTTTAATATATTTAACATTCAAATTAATGAATTAAACAGAATAGAGATGGTTGAGCAGGCAGTGTGTGGTATCTGAAGTATCTGGGAGTTGGTGGATGCCAGTGGGATCCATGGTGACCACATTTGCAGCCAGTGTTGCTTATTCAAGGAAATTCAGTTCAGAATTGATGAGTTCATGACCAAGCAGCGGACATTGAAACACATCAGGTTTGGAGGGGAAAAGAGGTACTTTGATATTACCTTTCAGGAGACAGCCACATTCCTTCAATTAATTATATCACATTTGGTCTTGGTCAGGAACAAGGTAGTGTGACCATGGATGAAGCATGGATAGGGATCTAGAATTTAACTGTAAAAGAGTATAAATCAGAAAATAGTGGAGGCATGTAAGAAGGTCACTATAATTGCCATGGGTGATTTTAATTTTCATATTGACTGAACAAATCAAATGGGCAAGGGTAACATGGGAAACTAATTCGTACAGTGCATCAGGGATTATTTCTTAGAGCAGTACATTACAGAGCCTACCCAGGAACAGGCTATTTTAGATTTAATAGTGTGCAATAAGGAGGACTATTAAGGGATCTCATTGTTAGGATCCTCTTTGTAAGAATCATGTCTTGGTAGAATTTCAAATTCAGTTTGAGGGGAGAATGTAACTGGAAATTTATAATAAAGGGAACAGGGAAATGGCAAATAATTTAAACAAATATTTTGCATCAGTTTTCATGGTGGAGGATGTTTTAAATATCCAAAAATAACAGAGAGGCAGGGAGAGGAAAGATCTTGTAATAGTCTCTATCATGAGTGACAAAGTATTTAACCAACTAATGGAACTTTAGACAGACACGTTACCAGGACCCAATAGCCTGGATCCAAGGGTTTCAAAGGACGTATCTGTACAGATAATAGAGGCATTGGTCAAAATATTCCAGAACTTACAGGATTCTTTGAGACGCCACTGCTGCAGAAAGGAGGGAGACAGAAAACAAAAACTGTAGGCCAGTTGGCCTAACATTTGCCTTTGGAAAAATGCTACAGCCCATTATTAAGGAAGAAATAGCAGGACATTTAGACAACGTTAATACAATCAAACAGAGTCGACGTGGTTTTATGAAAGGGAAATCACATTTGACAAATTTACTTTGTGATAATAACAAGCTGAGTTGATTAAAGGGAATCAGGAGATGTAATGCATTTGGATTTCCAGAAGGTATTCCATAAGGGGCCAAACAAAACATTATTGAATAATATAGGAACTTCCAATATCAGAAGATGAAGAGTTAGGATTAATGGGCCTGATATAGGTTGGAAAGTCATGACCATTGGAATGCCACAAGGATCAGTCCTAGGGCCTCAATTATTTATTATCTGTATTAATAACTTGGAAGAGGGAGCAGAGTATATCACATTAAAATTCATGGATGATACAAAATTAGGTAGGAAGGCATGTTGCGATGAGGACAGAATGAAAGTGCAAGGGATACATACACATTGGGTGAGTGGGCAAAAGTTTGGGAAATGGAGTTTAATGTAAAAAGTGTGAGATCATGCACTTCGAGAGAAAGAATCAGAAGGCAGAGGTCTTATTTAGATGGAGAGAGTGAATGAAAACTGCAGCACAGAGGGATTTTCATTCTGTCCTCATCGCAACATGCCTTCCTACCTAATTTTGTATCATCCATGAATTTTAATGTGATATACTCTGCTCCCTCTTCCAAGTTATTAATACAGATAATAAATAATTGAGGCCCTAGGACTGATCCTTGTGGCATTCCAATGGTCATGACTTTCCAACCTATATCAGGCCCATTGATCCTAACTCTTCATCTTCTGATATTGGAAGTTCCTATATTATTCAATAATGTTTTGTTTGGCCCCTTATGGAATGCCTTCTGGAAATCCAAATGCATTATATCTCCTGATTCCCTTTAATCAACTCAGCTTGTTATTATCACAAAGTAAATTTGTCAAATGTGATTTCCCTTTCATAAAACCACGTCGACTCTGTTTGATTGTATTAACGTTGTCTAAATGTCCTGCTATTTCTTCCTTAATAATGGGCTGTAGCATTTTTCCAAAGGCAAATGTTAGGCCAACTGGCCTACGGTTTTTGTTTTCTGTCTCCCTCCTTTCTGCAGCAGTGGCGTATCAAAGAATCCTGTAAGTTCTGGAATATTTTGACCAATGCCTCTATTATCTGTACAGATACGTCCTTTGAAACCCTTGGATCCAGGCTATTGGGTCCTGGTAACGTGTCTGTCTAAAGTTCCATTAGTTGGTTAAATACTTTGTCACTCATGATAGAGACTATTACAAGATCTTTCCTCTCCCTGCCTCTCTGTTATTTTTGGATATTTAAAACATCCTCCACCATGAAAACTGATGCAAAATATTTGTTTAAATTATTTGCCATTTCCCTGTTCCCTTTATTATAAATTTCCAGTTACATTCTCCCCTCAAACTGAATTTGAAATTCTACCAAGACATGATTCTTACAAAGAGGATCCTAACAATGAGATCCCTTAATAGTCCTCCTTATTGCACACTACTAAATCTAAAATAGCCTGTTCCTGGGTAGGCTCTGTAATGTACTGCTCTAAGAAATAATCCCTGATGCACTGTATGAATTTTCCCATGTTACCTTGCCCACTTGATTCGTTCAGTCAACATGAAAATTAAAATCACCCATGGCAATTATAGTGACCTTCTTACATGCCTCCACTATTTTCTGATTTACACTCTTTTACAGTTAAATTCTAGATCCCTATCCATGCTTCATCCATGGTCACACTACCTTGTTCCTGACCAAGACCAAATGTGATATAATTAATTGAAGGAATGTGGCTGTCTCCTGAAAGGTAACATCAAAGTACCTCTTTTCCCCCCCAAACCTGATGTGTTTCAATGTCCGCTGCTTGGTCATGAACTCATCAATTCTGAACTGAATTTCCTTGAATAAGCAACACTGGCTGCAAATGTGGTCACCATGGATCCCACTGGCATCCACCAACTCCCAGATACTTCAGATACCACACACTGCCTGCTCAACCATCTCTATTCTGTTTAATTCATTAATTTGAATGTTCTTGTACATAAAACACATAAGGTTAGCATGCATGGCAGTAAGTAATCAAGACGACAAACGGAACTTTGGCCTTTATTGCTCAGTGGTTGGAAATTAACAATAGGGCAGTTTTGCTCCAACTGTACAGGGTGTTAATGAGGCTGCACCTGACGTACTGTGTACAGTTTTGGTACTCATATTTAAAAAGGGTACTTTCACATCGGAGGCAGTTCAAAAGTGATTCATTAAAATTATTCTTTGGATTTATTTGAATGTCTAAACAAGTTAGGCCTTTATTCCTTAGAGTTTAGAAGAATAATTTTATTGAAACATACAGGATTTTGAGGGGGCTTGACAGGGGAGTGCTGAAATGAGGTTTTCACTAGTGAAGGAAAAAGGCCATTTAGCCCATTGAGTTTGCCCTGCCACTGAATGAGCTCATGGCTGATCTGATAATAATTAGCTCCACTTTCTTGCCTTGTGCATAAGCGTCGATTCCCTTGCTGATTTAAAGTATCTTAGCTTTGAATATACTTCAACAGCCTTCTGCAGCAAGGAATTCCACACATTCACAACCTACTGACAGAATAAATTCCTCCTAATCTCTTTCTTAAACGTACCACCCATAGTATGAGATCCCTCTGGTCCCAGACTCTCTCAAAAGGGGAAAACAACCTTACTCCATCTACCCTGCCAAGTCCCCCAAATATCTTGTATGTTTCATTAATGTTGCCTGTCACTCTTCTAAATGCGTACAGGATCAATCTACTCCACCTTTCCTCATAAGAAGGTCCCTCCATACCTGAAATCCAATTTATGAATACTGTAGTTTTCTCCGATGAAAAATTACAAAGCTAAGGTAAGGAAGAAGATATTGCAGTCACTCAGCATTGTTGCCATTTATTCAATTTTCCTCCATTGTTTCTTACTCTCACCTTCTGTATAAAAACTTATTTCTCCTCTCCGCTACCTAAAGTGGTAAAGGAATTGTTAAAACCCTTGCCATCTCGATCTTCACCTCCAACAATACGAAGAACTCATAGAACCTTCTTTGTCCCCATCAGGATTCAGAGCATTAAACTGCTTCCTGTTGTTTCCCTCCTTTCTGAAAGGTTACCATGTTAAATTCACCCGGTCCCCCCTCATTTCACCTTGATTTTGCACCTTTCTCCAGTTTCACTCCAGTCTCAGTGCCATTCCCACAATGCTCTCTTGCAGGTCACTTTGCCCAAGACACCTATCTCCCATTTCCTCTTTACCAGAGCTGATGAAAGGTCACCTATCTGAAATGTCAACTCTGTTCCTCTCCACAGATGTTGCGTGAACTGCTAAGTATTTCCGATTGTTTTGATATTATTCCATATAATTTCATAGCAACTTTAAAAGCAAACCAATGAAATGTTCACTTTTGTAACACTCAGTTCATTTCCTGGTTCTGTTA